TCTGTGTGCTGGTGATGCCGCTCTGCAAGAATCCCCTCTCCCTCTCCAGCCTCAAACATCTGGAGCCGTGCTCACGCCTGGCAAAGGGTTTTTTGTAGGCACTGACAGATCCCCAAGGACCAGCAATTTCTAAAAATAGAATCTCTCTCATATTTTGTACAAATCCCACACTAAATTACGCTCCTGGGCTCCCAACCGAGCCTATCAACTGAGGACCCGATTTCTGGCTTTCACGAGGTGTGCCTATTGCCCTGAACCTGCTCAGAGCCCCACTGCCCTCAGTGCAGCTCAGTGAAGTCAACAGACTTACTTCCAGCAGCTGTCAGCAATCTGTTCCCAGGCACTCCCTTCTCTAAGGAGGGGGATTGATGCTAATCTGGCAGCCAAAAGCTGCTTCCCTGTACTACAGTGATTTAGAGCTCAAAGGTCATTTTAGATTTTTGAAGAACAAGCTCCATGTCCTAATTCTGCCTTTAATCCACGCACAAAGAAACATCCTTCACATTGGGATGCTGCCTCACTGGCCAGGAACAACTGTGGGATTCTGAGCAATCACTAATTACACTATTTGCCTTCATCCATCACAAATGCAAGTGGAAACCATGGTTAGACTTGAATCAAACCAAGTCCTTGGGAGTTCACATGAAAGAGACACAAGCACTTGGGGAAACCGCAGGTGTTCCCAGAGCATCTGCGGAGCTGTGGTGGAGGGTACCTGGCATTTCTGTCTCTGGCTGCTCTTGCTGCATTTCCACCAGGAAGTTTTCACACTTTTTCTAGCTGTGTGCAACACATACCCCGCTCTCTGCTCCGACCTAGCAGCCCCAGAACATGAAAGCAACACACCGGGAAAAGGTGGAGACAGCAGGCAGGGTAAGAGTGCAGGGATGCCGTGATGAGCTACTGTCATCTCTGCCCCCATCTGTCCCCACACCCCTGGGCTGAAGTTTGGGTCCTCCTGAGCATACTTGCACATCAGAAGTTTTACTTTAACTACCAAGGAGTAGCTGAAACCTTCTGGCTCACCTCCTGCCTGCCAGAGTGCTTCAGCCTGCCTTCCTCCCTCTGCAGTCTGCAGCAGTTTGCTCCCAGGGGTTATCTGGCTTCAGCATTTGCCTGACACAGCTACAGACACGCCATCAGCAGCAGTGCCAGTCCAGAGGTGCTGAATATCCACCTCCCACATCTAACAGTCACTCTATATAACGAGTAGCATTCAGAGCTAAAAGCTGCGATCTCACAACGACGCAGAGGCCAATTCTCTCCCTAAACAGCTAGAAATCATAAAATGATAGGGAAGTCCCACACTCCCACTGTGCAGCTTGCTGCTCCTTCCCTGGAACAGCTCCAGCTCTCATTCTTGGAAACGGTTCTTGGCCACTGGAGAGAAGAAAATTTTCTCTCTCCACCCGTCTGACTCACTGCTCCTGAAACCCTTCCTTCAAAGTCCTAGTCTAGGATCTGAAAGTTAGGGGGAAGTCCATGCAGTGTGACGCTGGGCCTGGGTAGAGCATCACTGGGATCTCAATTTTACAAGCTATTCTTTCAGACCTGGCAGCAATAAACACACTGTGGCAAATTCCAGAGAAACAAATCACAGCAAAGTCAAGAGAGAGACTTGATTGGCATTTACCTTCTTCCTGGAGTGAGGGAAGCCGAACATCCTCCTTAACCCTAGGGAAAGCTCTTTTTTTTACTAAGACTATTTTGCTACTCAGGGTATACTGTAGGATTCATGCACACTGGAAGACATTGGTTATATTTTTCTATAAATTCTTCTTCCTCTATCATCTATGCTTTCTCAAAAAAAACTCCAACAACGTAGTGATGCCCAAAAAAATATTTGAACCCACCCTTCAACTTGTTACAATTTTACAAACACAAAGATAGAGTCAAGTGAACTCAACTGAGCGCACCAACAGCCACAACTTCTTGCCTCAGCAAAGTGGCAAAACAATAAGCTACAGCAGAAATGCTTCTAATGTCTGTTAGCAGCATCAGGCTGGGCTGAGGACACACCGCTGAGGACACTACAGCTGCGGTGGCTCTCAAGGTAACGTCTGTGCTTTTGTAGCTGCTCTGCCAGCACAGCTCTGCTCTACAGGTGACATCCCTTTTAGTATCCCTGAGTGACAGCGCTGAGCCTGAAGTCTAGCATAAGCCAAGTATAGAAAACAGAAGAGAAGGTTTATTCCGCCTGGTATTAAACCAGATGATGCTACAAGGTAACGCGTCAAAAGGAGAGAGCTCTAAGAGCCAGAGTCTCGTGAGCCAAATACCCCATTCTTGTCAAGCTAAGCAGAAGGGAGCAAGTAGGAGCAGCATATAAAGCTTTGCACAGCTCGTATGGGCCTCAGATTCCGAGCTGATTAAGGACCAAGAATACCCCAGCATGATTCAAGTCAGCGTTAAACTGGCTTTTTTAAAACAAAGTCTGCTCCCGAGCTGATTAAGGACCAAGAATAGCCCAGCATGATTCAAGTCAGTGTTAAACTGGCTTTTTTAAAACAAAGTCTGCTGCAGCAGTCCAGTTCACACTGCTTGCCTGGTCCCAGCAGTGTGTGTCTGGGTCGGCCCTGGGCAGTGGCTGTGCCAAGAAGGTAGCAAAACACAGGCAACACAGGGACAGTGCAGCACGCTGATCTCTCTCCAGTAAAAGGATGGCTGCTTTCATTAAGCTTGTGGCTCCAAATCAGCTCTACAGTCACTCAGTTCGAGAGCCTCAGAAGCAGCAGGACAGCAGTCACTGCCAGTACTTAAGAGGATATATATACCGGTTCTCTGAACTGCTTGCCTTTCTCCCACGAGGATCCTGTAATTTAAGCAGCACAAGGACTTGCCTACACTACAAAACTAGACAGTTTAATCTAAGCCAGCTAAGAATTCGTTTGTGGTTATTAGTTTGTGCTAACTTTAATAAACCAACTAAAACCACACTAGATCTCAGTTAAATCTATGTGCTTGTTCCAACAGTCTCCAGAAATAAATGCTTTGTTAAACACCAGTGCATGATTGCATGAGTATTTTGACGCAAACCACTCCATGGCCAGAAACATCTTTCAAGAGTCATTTGGAAAATCTCTAGAACTATTTCTCCCAAGATCACCCTCAAGTTTTCCCTTAATTCTCACGTCAGTCAGTATGAACTTTGCTAACACGCATCCAGGTCAAAATTAAAACGGCCTAAGAGGGGGTCCATTTGTGTGTGTTTGCAGACACCAGACATTTCCCCTTCTCCACTGCTCCGATTTGCCGCAGCAATGCTGTACAGTATTCCCAGATGTAAACCTCAACTACTCATATAAAGCAAGTTTCTCTGCTCTCCTGAAATCTGTGTGCGCATCTAGACTTGTTCTGCTCCTCCCTTCTATCTACAGAGAAATATAACAAAACTGGAAGAGATTCAGGGACAGGCAACCAGGATGGTCAAAGTCCTAACTAACTTTGGAGCAAGAGCCTAAGGAAGGAATAACTAAGTAGACCAGAAACCTTCAGCTTGGAAGACAGCCGAGAAGGGGATGTGAAAGATCCCAGGAGGTGACAGGAGGCAGAAGATGATTTATGGGAATAGATGCAATCACCACTATTCTCCACTGTTTGACTCCTGGTGCCCTGCAGCTGTCACTGCCAAAATCCAAGAGAGTGATGCAGTTCTGGGACATCACCGGAGATGCGCCCTTTGAAAAGGAAAAGCGTTTAGTGTTCTCTGTGATTTGTGTTCAGTCTTTCCAAGCGACACCTTCAGAAATACGTTCATATTCCTTTTATAGTCTCCTGGTCAGACACTCAGGTTTTTGTAGCATTCCCAGGGAGACCCTGAAGTATTTGGATATTTTCCTTCAAATTCCCTGCGCGAAGATGTTGAAACTGATTACATCAAAAGTTCATGCTATAAGCAGAGCAAAGCCTGTGCTACAAAGAGGGACCAAGCTGTGCCCCAACAGACTTTTCTTTTGCCAGTGTTTCCTCACGTTTTATGCACAGCCACAGCCAGATTCAAAACAAAGTTTCCAAGATCTGTCCCATATCCCCCAAACGAAATGCTTTTGCCTTCTACCCAGGTGCACAAGTTCCACCACCAAAGATGACTTCCTCAATCCTTCCCTCAGACTAAACAACAGGACAGTCTTCTCCTCCACCTATGTTAAGATGGGAAAAGCATCTCAGGTATGATTCCCTCTCCAGTTCTTTCTTTGCACACATCTGTATGTGGGCAGATAGACTGAAGGAGTAAATCCTACTTGCGTAGGTGCACCTGTGATACCCAACATGCACAGCCATGCTATTTACTTCAGCGCATTCCCAACAAAGCTGGTAGTAACAGCCGTGCTTGGTGTCAGCATAACGGCATGTATGACAGGCTAATGGACAGTAAGTTTGTAACAAAAAATCCTACTAAATCTGTCACAGCAGTGAGCCCTAACTGATTTGCTACAAAACTAAACACAGGTATATAAGGGATAATTTCCCAAAGCATAAATTTCAAAGAAATCCTTTTAGGATTCAAAGGCTAAGCATCTTTCTTTAAATAAAAATTATTATTCCTAATATTTCAAACACTAAGAATGCCACCCTGAATAAAGAACCATTCTGCTTTCATTATCTGAACACATTTGGCAGAGGCAGCTTAATGAAATTCAGATGTGTTCATCCACCAGATTCCAGACCTCCATTTAGAAAGACAGGCTCTTCCCCCGCAGCATAACCTGGCACTGGTTTTCTGCTTGGTTCCCGTCCAAAGGCCAAAACCTGGGGATTAATGGTCACTGTTACAACATTGCTTTCCACTTAGGAATATACAAGCAGTGTTTGGTTTTTCTAAGCTTTATCTTTGAAATGGTGAAAGAGGAAAAGAAATTATTTTTGAAATTTTTTTTCCTAACAGAATGAGTATTTATCTAAGAAATACCTGCTGCCATTTCAAGGTGTCTAATTAACCAATAGCTTTATTGCAATTGCAATTTTTAAATGCAATTTAAAAGGCAAACACTGTCATTCTTACGGGAAAGAAAAAAACCCCAAGTTTTAGAAGTAACACTTGCATGTTAAGAGGAGCTGTGGAAGGAGAGTCTCAGTAAATTCCAGAATCATTTGATTAGGGGTTGATCATATTATCTTGAGAAGAATAAAAGAAGATTGAAGATTCTGTAGCAGTCTGGGTATTTTGATTTGTTTTGGTTTTGTTGTTGGGTTTTTTTTTCGTATTAAGATACAGCAAAACAGCTGAAACGCTCTTACAATGACTCCTTGCTTAAGCTTAGAACATCTCAAACCTTTTTGTTTTCCCCAACGTTTACAGCTTCTGAAGATAAAGGTAGGAGACAGCAGAGTCTCTTATCATGACAACAGAGATCAAGATTCAGGCTGTCATCAGACGGCAAATTTACTTCTACATCACCACTTTTGAGGAACAAAGTTCACTGAAACATTAATAAGGCAGCAGCCTGGGCCTTGCTTGTCACGGTGAAAGTGAATCTGCTGTCTGTCCACAGTTACATACCGTCCACAATGGCAAAACCCAGGTCCCAAGGAAAGGTTGTGACAGCAAGTCATTGACTTTACAGAGCCCATAGGGAGCTCACAAGTGACTGCAACGCGGCAAGCAGAGCTTGAAGAATCAGCCCAATGCTGTAGGAATTAAAACTCTTTCAGCCTCAACTTACCTTGGCTGGAAACATTCACGCAGAAGTAAATCCCATAGATCTGATACACGTACAAAGTTCCTGGTTTCATGAACATTGCTGCGTTCCGTTGAGTTTGCTTCCCACCTTTTGAGTGGGAAGCTTCATCTTCCCCACCCAGATAGGCTTCTGTTTCAACAATCCTCCCCCAGAGTTCTCTGCCATCAGGAAGTGTGCGAACTAAAATCTGAAAGAGAGGTCAGAGTACATCAGTTAGTAACCCTCCATACAAAACAACCAGGGCACAACAGCTGTGGAAACAAAGTAGTCGGAAAAAAGGTCCTGATGGTACTACATGCTCTCCTCTCCATCTAGCAGTCCAGTCTGTAAGAGAATGTGAATGTTTTCAGCTTCTAGTGTCCAGGCCACAGCCCAGTACAAGAAGTTCCTAGCTGTCATTCATCTCACAAAACGCCTGGAGAGTCGAGATGCGGCAGTATCATAAAGAACCAGTTTATGATCCTATATACAGTAATGCCCACAGAGTTGCTTTGTGGTTATTTTCTGTATTCTCCACCCCAATCCACCAGGTTTAAGGCAAAAGGCACCACCAATATCAACCCTGAAGCATCATGAATGTATATTCTTTAGAACAGAAGAAATACGGGAGTGGCAAAATTAAATAACTAGTATGATTAGATAATCTCTCTCCATAGAGATGTTTCAAACAAGTCCTGGTCCCTAACCATAGAGATAATCATGACCAGAGTGAGCATCAATGCTATTTCTCTATTTTCTGCACCACAGAGTGGGGCAGTGCAGGAGAGCTGGGAAGTGGTTTCAGGCAGACAACAACAGATCTTTGTTATTACAGCGTGTTCCTTGCTGCTGGTACCTCCTTAAATAAAACAAAGCAGATGCGGGGGAAGAAAACGTGACAGTGAAAATATTCTCTTCAAAAATAAAACAATCACTAAATTCCACACAAAGATTTTTGTGGTTTGACCCAATTTCTAAACTTCTTATTTTGCTTAATACGTGTTTAAGAAACACTGCAGTATAATCTCATTTAGGCAACAGCTATCAGTTTAATTATACTACATTCAGCACTTCCATATTTGAAAACCAGCCGTTCAAAAATGACCTTCAAGAAACAAAGCTTAATTCCTAACAGATGTTTGTGCTGGATCACTAATGCAGTTATTGACCTGATCCAGTATGGACACTCGAGAAGCCAGTGTCAAATGTTACAAAAAAAAAACAGTACTTCTCAAATTGTTGAAAACAATCAGTGTATTATTTTTATGAAAAATACAGTGACTTCAGAAAAGCACTGGTGTTCTGCAACTGCCCGTAAACACCCCACAAGCACACCCATGTGGCCACATTTCCCTTTCAATATGATAAAATGCAATGGCTAGGTTATGATTTTAAAAGCGTGCAGGTATTTCCCTGACTCTTCAGACACACCAGATATTCTCAGTTAAACAGTTTAAAAATTATGATCATTCACAGTATGTTGCAGTAAGCTATTTTATAGAGGTTTTTATTTCTCATTGAAGATTTATCTTGGTGTTACAACCGTTCATTTTGAGAGGCTGTTTATTGCATCTATGTTCTGGGGTATTTTTTTGTTTCTAAGAACTCAAGTATCATGTTTAAGGTAATCAGTATTAATACACCAGGCACCTCCAAAATTTGGTAGAATGAAGATAATGAATAAAACACTAAATTGCCATTATAGTTATAATTCTAAGCAAATGAGACAATAGACTGGGTCATGGAAGACTAGGGGTTATACTTAAAATCTAAAATTAACATAGAAATTGCCTGGCTTGTAACTCTAGGCCTAAATAGGAAAAGTAAAGAATTAGGACTAAAATATCATCTGGCTGGGGTAACTGAATGCACAAGGATGTTGGAGTCATTAAGATAAAAAATGCATCAGTACTGGGAGACTTCGAGTATCCTCATATAGACCAAGTAAATATCATAATAGGACAGGACACAGGCTATGTTTTCTTAGACATCATCAAATGCTTTGCAGAGTGAGTAATCAGGGATCTCAAGAAAAGTCTAAACTCTCAAACTGATCCAGAGCAAAATGCAAAGTCTTTTCCAAAGACTCATCCCTGAAAAACAACTTTGTATCACGACCATGAAGTAGAAAGTTTAGTGTCCTTTCACAAACATTAAGGTCCAAAAACAATCTATCAGAATTCTGCTTACCTGCAAAAAGGGGAAACTACATAAAGTGAGGAAGCTTGTTAGGAAGAACTTAAGAGAGGCAGCCAAAGGTTAAAGCTAGAAAGGCAAGCCTCTAGCAGGATGTCTATAAAGATAGCAAACACATATGACGCATCTGAAAGAGGTTAAGACAGACCAAAAAAAACTCAGCAGGGTTAAAAAGCAGAGCAAAGGCGTCAATTACAAGCAAGACAATATCCTTAGAAAATAAAATAAAAAAAAGCTAGACACAGCAAGACAGGCCAAAATCAACAGTTTGTGGAACAAATTCCTAAAGTTATCTAAACCAATAAGAACCCAGAGAGTCTGTTCACCCCACAGACAATAAAGGTATAAAAAAGACTCAGAGACGATAAGACCATAGCAGTGAAACTAAAAACACATTTTGCAATTGTGTTTAGCAGGTCCCAGACTGGAACTTTCAATAGGGAAAACACTGGAGGAACTCCCTCCTGTGGAAACAGCGGGAGAGTTTTCTGAAGGACTCACTAAGCAGGAGAGACCCGTTTAATCTCCCTCACTCTGATTTCCAAAGGTTTTCTACAAGGTCCAGAGATTCCTCAGTTTCTGCAATGGGATAAGGGAAAAGGCCCTCTCACAAACAAGTAGTGGCTTGAAAACTCAGAAACAAAAGGTAGGAGTAGCAGTTTTCAGAGTGAAGAAAGTTTAATTGTGGGATTGGGGAGTCACGAATGTCTCCAAACCAGGGCCTGTGCTGCCTTGCATATTTGTGTTAATAACCTCAAAAAGGTTATTACTGAAAATATCGAGTTATTCGCAACAGCAAAAATAAAAGCAGGTGGTATGAGATATAACTTTCAAAGCATGCAGGGCAGCAGAAAAGAAAGTACCAAGCAGTCTGCTGAACTTGCAGATAGGAATGAAATATTCGAGTACACTATGACAGTGGATACGGGTGAAGGAAGGCCAAGGGCCTGCCACGCTACGAGCATCACAACAGAGGAAAATGGAGGCGGAGGAGGAGATGTTGCTGACTGCAGAGCAGTACTTTCCACCGGGCTAAGCAAGAGCCAAAACCAAATAAAGGAATACCTGAAAGGAAAATAACAGTCCCGAAACAAACTTCATACCACAAACAGCAAAGTGCATTTCAGTAAACCAGAAAAAAAGGAGAAAAACTCCACAAAAAACCTCATTCTGAAATGTGACAATAAACTAAACCTGAAAAATTACTCCTCTGACTTCATCCAAAATAGATTTGGCTACTAGTCTTTAAATTCCACTGAACTTAACGAGAGAAGGAATGAGAGCTGTATTCCTAAAATAGCAAAGCCCTGGAGTCAAATGGCAAAAAAAGAATTTCATCCTTTTACACGAAGTTATTAGCTAGCACGTGCTCCAGTACAGTAATCTCAGTGTTCATGTCTTACCTGTCCCAGAAAGGACTTGGCCAGACTAATACAGGGCTGGTTGAAAAAATCTGCTTCTAGCCGGGAAGAAATTTTTTTCTCTACCGCAAAATATTTGCTGCTTTTTGGAGAAGAATCCCCATCAGGCGTAGCGTTCAGGTTCTCCAAGGCATCAAAAGGAAGGAAGCTGGAGTTGCTTTGGAGCGCACTTAATTGAGCCAACAGCTTTCTTTTTCTTGGCATAGTTCTAAAAAAAATGATATAAACATAATTAGGAATATAAAGTTTATTTTAAAGTAACTCATTTCCACAAACTCTTATTTTTACACATCTCTCCACAACAATGAATCTGAAAGCTATAACTAATTGGACAACCTAGGCAAACTACAGAAGCAGGTGAAAGATTTAGCTGTGTCTACATCAGGCTAGGCAAATATTGGGCTCTACTGATAAGCAAAACTGCAGTTTGATATTCATCTTTTAAGGACTGCAGATAAAAAGCAACTCTGCTCCACTTAGCAGTAAAAATGTTTGCTGTTAGGTTAGGAAATTCAGAAATTGAAAACAAAGATCAACCAGTACTATATACTTTTTACCTAGAACTAACATAATCAGTTAAGCAGACAGAAAAAAACAGGCAACAACCACCTCAAAAATTGTGCTGACTCAGAAAGTCCACAGAAGTGATGTCTTGATCATTTTAAACAGCAATGTGACCGGATCAGAGTCGTAAAACTCCACAGGACACAGAACATTTGAGTTGGGAGATGCCCAGTCTTTACTGTCACTAACTTGTTTCTCATGCTGTAGAAACGTTTGTGTTAGAACCTCCACCAAGTAAGCTTTAAAGTTACCTACCAGAAAAATGAAGAGCAGTCTGTTCCAGTCAACAGTATGTATTTCAGGCAACTACACAACCCGAGATTGTTCTTCTAGGTTTGTCACCTACATGAGCCTCAAAAAGTTGTTTCTTTTTCTATGCCACAGTCCTTATACCTGTCAAACAGGAACAAACTTATTTATTCACTGTATAAAGCACTTTGAAATAGGCTAAGAGATTTGGGAGCTGGAGATCGTGATACCAACAGTGCATCATTAGCTCAAACTCAAGAACAATTTGCAATTTTCTATTGGTTTAGCAAAAGATCATCTCCCAGCTGGGGCACTGCTGGAGATGTTCCTTAGCCTTTTTTATACAAAAGGCTATGAAAGCAGTGGGGAATGCACTTTTCCTATACTGAACACACAAAAAGCTGAAACCAAACTTTTTAAGTTTCCCCATTGGTACTAAATTTGGAAAGTGTCAGCCTCAAAAAAGGACACTTACAAGAGAATGAAAAGACATCAGGTTTTAGAAGATGCCTCACCAGTTCTGAAATTCAACCACATGTAGATATAAGGGAAAAAAGAAAGGTTCAACATCATACATAATTAGAAACGGAGAAAGAATCCTATATACGGCTGAACCTGTAGGGGAAGTATATACATAATAAAGTAGCTGTTGCGGCTCATTTTTCACCAGATCATCAGCTTTTAAAAATGATGACAAAAACTTTCAGCATCAAAAACAATCTTTATCTGGCTCTGATGTTTCTCCAAAGAAAGATCCACCAGCAATAGTCTCCTTGCACTACACTGAAACAAATTCAGCACTGCTATGCTCTGGATCACCAGTGCCAATTCCCCAACAGTGTCACATTTCACTTCAGAAGAATCCAGACACAAACATATAAAAATAGGCAGGGGAAAAAAAAAAATCACATTGGCACAACTGGCAGAAAGGTGGGATGCTTTTATTTTTTTTATAAACATCTAATTATTTATTACAATAATACAGTGATGTCAGTGACTTGCCATAGAACAGCCAGCTCCATGCCAGGTATCCTGTTCCAAACTCTAGTTTTCACCTAGTGGGAATTCTTAAAAATTTTGTCAGAAGTCAGCAGCCTGCCTCAGACAAAACTGCCTTGTGGCCTTCATAAATGAGAGTCCTGTCTAGGAGAAAGGGTGCAAACAGGAAAAAGGGCTGCAGGAAGGAAGGCGTGGAGGAGGAACACTTGCCCTTATCAGACTGACCCTCCAAAAGTCTCAGTCAAGGGAAAGCTTCACAACGAAGACAGTACCTCCAGACTTCTCTGACAGTATTAACTGGAACTTCTAGTTCATCAGCCATACATAAAGACATGCTGAAAACACGGCCAATTTGAGTGGAGCACTAACTCATTTGGTAATTTGTGCTCTTATGGAATGCGACATCAGAAACAGGATCTGAGTTGCCTGGCACCTACTGCATTTCCAATTAAGTAATTCTTAAAAGCTGCAAGTGCTTTCATGTAAATCTTATAGCAGCAGCCTCAGGGCACTGTAATTTCATTGCTATGGGCTGATCCTACACAGATCGCAGCATCTTCAACTCTCATTAGAAATACCAGTAGGAAACTGCCTTATAGTAATGAGAAATGGGTCACATACAGGAATGTGATTGCTTTAAAAGCAAAAACACAGAACGAGGGGACTGCAATACCATCTCAGAAATCCAGAAAAAAAACTGGTCTACCCTTTGACTCCCTGGTTGTTCATACCAAGATATGAAACATAAAACTCTATGCCTCAAAGCCTGTCTACACTTTCTATAAAGGATGTTGCATGTACATACAAATTCCTTCTTGCCTATGAAAAAGCACACACATATCAAGTACCCAAGTGCTATGTATTTGGGAAGACACCATCTCTTCACATGTAAATACAGACAAATTCTGCATCTCTGTCTATATTTGCTTGCTTGCATAGTGAACAAATTCTACTTCTGTGCCTCCAATAAGAATCAGCTGCAGGTTTAATCGCTTTTTACTAATCCTGTTGTAACCAAACTAGGTCCAAGTTGTTAAGCACATGTGTGTACACATGCACAAAAAATTATGGAAGTCAGAAAAGGAAAATCAAGAGCTGACTAAGTCTGCACAAGCACCTAAAGTGTTCAGGGCTGCTGGGCTAGTCTCAGGCAAGTGTTTAGGGACCCTGCAAGCCAGACTCAGTAAGACACTGGAAGTCTGTGTAAAATACAGCTCAGCAGCAAATACACCCTGTAGTCAAGGCACAACAGAGTCTACACAGGTTTCTTTAATCCTTCTAATAAGACTGCATTTGCAGGTGTTTCCTCATGTATTTAATGAGCTTTCACTAAAAGGAGGCAAAAAAAAAAAAAAAAGAATCCCACCAGTAATTTGTATCTACTTTGGCTCACAGGTCCAGATACCTACAGCTGCAAAGTTTTCCTCGCACACATATATATATTTCTTGTAGCATGATGAAGAGGCATACATAAGAACACATTGCTGCTTCTGGAGAGACAATTCCTCATACCAATTCCCAGTTGTACAGATTTTATGTGGGAATATATGAACAGCCAACCCTGGGTCAGACCAAAGAACGCCTCTCCCTGTATCCTGCTCTCCAGGTCAAAAGTAGGAACCCAGGGAAGAACAGAATAAGTACACGATGCTTCTCCACATATCCTCCATATCTCTATGGACCGGAACCTTCTGAACCAGGCACAGTGTCTGTGAGCTTATGCAGCCTTCCCTGAGCTTGTGTAAAACTATCCAAATGGAGGCTTTACCAATGAAAGCTTCATGGAATTAGTCATTACAGCTCCAAAAACTCACTCATTTTGTGTGTGAAATTAGGACTGCTCCCTACCCACATGAATCAGTTTACATTTGCAATTCATCATCACCAGCCCTCTTCTTTACCACCTCAAATAACATAAAGCCAGCTGGAAACATTGATTTTCCAGGTCATTTACAAAACATCCCTGCAGCACCCCAACAGTGACCTCCAGCCACCACGAGGTCTGCCCGGTTACTCACATCCTCTTTCTTATCTCTGCACCAACTGTTTGTTTATGACAGGGAACTCCCTTATTATGTCAGGGGCTGCTCAGGTGAGGGCTCCTGTTTCAGAGCTTCCTGAAATCTGAGTACAGGCTGTAACCGAGACCTCTCAACATGCTTATTTAGACCTTCAGAGAATTTCAACTTTTTTTTTTAAGGCATGACCTGCCATTACGAAAGCCACATTGACTCTTCCCCACTATGTAATATTTATGCAGGTGTCCAATAATTCTACCTTGCTGTATTTTCTGCTAATTCTGTTGGTAGCTGTTAAACTTCCTGGTCTGCAGTTCACAGATTTCCCCTAGAACCTTCCTTAAAAACTAGTGACACATTTGCTGCTGAGACCATTGTTAGCAGCACTGTCCCTGGGGGCTTCACCTGGTTTGGCAACTTGTTCCTGCCTGTTGTCTATTTGTTCCATAACCTCTTACACAGGCACTTCATTTTAAGCCAGATCCTTCAATAAGTTCTCAGTGAGAAGAATTTCCATCCACCTTTCCTGCCTAGTCTGACCTATTAGTAACCAGAAGTAAGTTAATAACGTATAGTGTGAGAAGCAGGCAAAACCACGCTTCTTGAAAGAAGAGTGCAGGCAGGAGCTTGTATAATATAATTATTAAGTCAGTCTCTCCACAGACAGACTTTGACATGGTGTGCAATCCTACTAATACCTCAAAAGTATGGCAAAATAAATGGCTTTATTCACCTTACTGAATGCTGGGGATATCACTTCCTGCAAAACATCCTTGCAATTCCAGTCCTCACTCCTACTGCCTACTGGACATCTTGAGCTTTTCGGAATGAAAACTTACTCATCCTTCTGTAAAGAACAAGGAAAATAAAAATGAAGGAGAGCAATGAAAAAGTCATGAAAACCCCAAAAAGCCCTCACAGTAAAATTACACTCTGTTTTGGTTGACTCTCTTAAACCATTTTGTTTTGTTCTGTTCCCCCCCCGCCCAACATTCCAGCTGCTATTTTTAACTGAGTGCCAAACTTGCATGTTAAATGAAAGCAAACAAGTTAAATATAATACTGACAATGGATGTTAGCTAGCTCAGCCTTCTGAGATTTGAGTTAACCAAGCCCGCGTTTAGTTTAGCAAGGCAGCATTTAGAGAGGCCACAAACACTGATACAGAAATGGACACAAGGATTCAAAATCATCTGCAGTTCAGTTTTTTCTTTCTATCTACATTATTTGTAGCAAATGTACATTGGGTATATTGGGCTAATCATTCAAGAGCTATAAGTCTTATTTTTTTCCACCTAGATGATGGCAGTGAGAACCCTCCTGATTTGTAAAGCACATTGAAAGAGCTATATAAGGGGATACAGAACTAGCTAC